ACTTACTGCCGGCAATGCGGACCAGACTCTGACACCGGTCGTACAAGGACCTGACAGCCCGTATCAAATGGCCCGGTACCCCATACTCCCGGATACTCTATTCAATTTAATTTATTTAGAAATCGTGCTAGAATTTCATTAACATCTCTTTAATAACCTTTGAAAACTGTTAGCTTACTTTTTCAGTTCTCGCCTTCATGTTCTTTTAGCTAGTTCCAGCTTTTCTCTATGGATTTGAAGTTAGCCACTTTTTTGCAGCTTTTAGTTTTTGTTCAGCTTCTTTTGGTTTTACTATTTTAACTACCATTCTGCTGATTTTAGCTTTAGCATGTTTTGCAAAAAGTGGAATTTGTTGCTTATTTTAAATATAGTTTTGTTCATTTTGCCCATTTTAGCTACTGTTCTACTCATTTTAACCAACTCAGGGATAGCTTCAACAAATTTTAGCATTCAAGACTAAGCAGTCGCATGCATTTTAATTTGTCAAAAGTTCCTTTTTTTTGCAACATTTCACATATACCCGAGTCTAAATTTGACAGGGCAAATAATATGGAATATATCATCAACCCCTTTATTGACCCAGATAAAAAATAAATAAACATTGTGATCAAGATCTCTTTTCCAAGGGTCAAAAACGATTCACAATATGGACAGTGTAATACCCCCTCAAAACATTTTTGATTTCAGAATGACAACTCAAAATAAATGCAACACACAGACCTACCAGAACACCTCAATACAAACACATCAGAGGACAATAGTAGACTGGCTCATAAAGCACAACTAGAATATATCATTTATATAATTGTATAACGGTTGGCAAATAAAACGTTTAGTACAGAAAGTGTTAGACCTCAGCTGTCTGATTATTTGTTTTGTTCTTTTGGCTTTAATTTCTATAGTGACAGATCAAAAATAAATTCAAATTTCAAACACTTGTCATCGCTTTCAAACATTTAAGTCATCACTTAAAATATAAATCTAAAAATACTTTAMAGTGAACTTGGGTTTTATTGATACTCATTTATACGTCACACTGTACACATGGAAAGGTTTGAGTTTAAATATTGTGTTTTATTCAGAAGTTCATCCTTTAAACACACATTCACGATTTTAAACAAGAGAAAAAAGTAGCCTTTTTATTAGTAACAAATTAATAAAGATTTACAGACAATCTTGTATCAGATTTAGCCCTACAGGCAAGAAATTAAGTTTATAGAGCCATTTACAAAAAATCCTCGACTAAAATAAGACATTTTGTAAAAAATAAATTTCAGACTTTCAAGGACAATGATGATGATAAAGAAAACAAGTTCAAATACCAAATTAAATGTACTGAATGTAAATCACACACAGGGCTAATCAGACAATTCAACATAAAAAAAACTTTAAATGAGAATAAAACTGAACTTGAATCATGGATAGAAATGTATTTGATAAGACGATTTACAGTATTTTTTATCAAAACCTGGGAAAGCACAAAGTAGAAAGAATGATTAAAAAAATAAACAGTATCGCTACTAAAACAAAAGGAGCCAAAGAATTTTTGTTTTTTCTTTTTTACTTTCACCGAATTTAACTTCTGTGGAAAGAATTATTACAAGAATTACAAAGAAATGGATCTCACTTAAACTTTCAAACATTTACTGATGATCAAAGTTTTTGTCTTTTTTTCCACGACAAAGACTGTTCATCCCATCATGAAAAACAAATCCCGTATAAACAATCAGACCAAGAAAGAGGAAGTAGAACTCTACATTCTGACCTTCAGGTGCAGCTAACTTAGTGTTTACTGTCAGCTGAGGCAGAGCGGGAGCGAGATCTTGAATGAGAACGGGATCTGGAACCAGACAAATTATTTGGAGCAGGGGCAGGGGCAGGTGAACGAGACTTTGAGCGGGACTTGGAACGGGACTTTGAGCGGGACTTGGAACGGGACTTGGAACGGGACTTGGAACGGGACTTTGAGCGGGACTTGGAACGGGACTTTGAGCGGGATTTGGAGCGAAACTTGGAGCGGGATTTGGAGTGAGACTTTGAGCGAGACTTGGAGCGGGATTTGGAGCGAGACTTGGATCTGGACATGGATCTGGCAGGGGGCTTGGCCCCTCCTGATGATTTCCTCCTTTCTGGGGTGCGGCTCACAGATCTGGAGCTGCTTCTAGAGCGACTGCGGCTCCTTGAGCGACTCCTGGAGCGAGAATAGCTGCGGGAGCTACTCCTGTTGCAATAAAATAAAAATTTAAAAAAGGTATTAGAAAACAGCAAAAACTAACAATTTAAAAAGTGTTCCATAAAAATCAGGCTTCCTACACATTTTTTTAGGGGTGTCCCGATACCAATACCAGTATCGGTATCGAGTCCGATACCAGCATCAAGTGCTCGTACTCGTAAAAGCCGGTCGATACTCTTAACCGATACCGCTTTTGTCCCCTCCTGTGCTGCGCTGCACAAAGGGTAAACAACA